GAGTTTGGTTGTGTTAAATGGTTGGGCAAACTGCCAGACGTGGGACCCGATTGGATGGCTGGCGTGGACTTTGTGAACCCGATAGGCGAGGGAACCGGTGTTCACAACGAGCACCGGCTGTTTTACGCCCCTTTAAATCACGCATCACTGGTACCGGTGTTGGGACTCATGAAAGCCGACGACTACTTGTGTCCAAACAATCCCTTTAATGGCGATCTGTTTACCGATAGTGACGCTCATGTCGTCACTCACTTGAGACGGTATAAGAAGAATAAGACATGAATTGAGAAACAGTTTATTGGACGAGAAGTTACGATAACTTTCTTATAGATTACAATCAATTGTATTGTAAAACATATCAATTATAATGAGTTTAAGAGTAATATATAAAAGTATTTTCAAGTGTTTAATGAATAGATTTTAATGAATAGAGTAAATAAATGTTTGTTTGAGAAATGAGTTATTAATGAAATGAAAGTCTGATAAGAAATGTCTACAAAAACCTCAACTCTTTGTCTGATTATCAACGACTTCTACGGTCTCGAAATCGTAGACACTTTCCGTCAAAAGTATCGACAGATTGAGATCTTTCTTGAGTTGAGCCGTAAATGCCGTCAAATCCTTCAGAAGTCTCTCCCTTTCGGCCAACGCTTGTGTCGACTTGTCTTTCAGTATATTTCTGTACGAATGCATCGGCTTTTCGGTCATCACATCCACACTCGTATTCAGTCCTCTATTCACTCTCCTGTTGTTCCCATCGATTGTCCGCCTCTTCACTGATGCATAAGAAGTGAAAAACAAAAACAAATGAATCGATTGAATGACAAACAGAGTCAATGTCTGAAGACATACTCATAGAACAACTGAACTCATCGTTCCGATCGTTATTGACATCGATATGCATATCGATTATCTTCACCGCTCTCTCCATCACATCCAACAATTGAATCGCCTTTTCGTCCGCGAGAACTGAGAACTGTCTTGAAATCCGTGACATTTTGTATGCATTTAATGCTATTCTTGTGGTGATTCAAGTGATCCACAATTTCGAAGCACTTCCTCCGGATCTTCACTCGACTGAATCGCTGACAACCGAATTGGCTGTCCTTCAGATCAAAGAACACTTTGCGTTCATCGAAACGGGTCTTAAGTTTCTTCAATTCATTCAATTGAAAGACAAGAATATTCTGTCGCTTCTGCCGGTCATCGCAGTTGACATCCATTTCGCGAAACGACTCCAAGAACTCGTTGAGCGTCTCTATCAACTTCTGGTGCGTCTTCTGCAGCTCTAATCTTCTGCAGTCGCATATTATTGCCGGGACTGTCCTTACCATCGATGATGACATCAAACGGTGATCTCCGCACATCACTCGCCACTTGATTGCCGTGTAATCACTTCATCGGCGGTGCACTTGATTTTTGGCTAAACGTCGCGTGAAGTACTGAATGACAATAACTGATGAAATTAAGAAAAACTTTTTAAACGCGTGGAAAATAAATATGTGACCAAGGTTGTGTTAAATCTATTGAAATATTTAAATTCTTGCGGTAAATTAATTTTGACTTATTGTATATAAATTATCATTTTAATTATTAAAGTTTGGTTAAATAATTGTTTGATTTTTGATTTATAATCTCATTTTGGTTCTCAAAAATGTGTTTTTAAAAAAAATTAATACCCAATACTTGCGTCAATTGAAAGTATTATAATTAAAAGTATACAAAGTATTTAATAACATTTTGTAATATTAATAATATTTAATTGTATTATCAATTCATTGGTCACAATGTCTTCGAATGGACTCAATCGACGCGAAAGAGTTGTCGATAGGAATGGCGACACAAATGAGGAGAACGTGTCTCGAGTGGTGTCTCAAGAAGTGTCGCCCGAAAGACCACAAAACCAGAGTATTATGAAGCGAGTGATGAGTCTAATGGCACTCTCGATGGCTATTCTTGTAGTGGTTTACTACACGACTCAATGCAATGACACCAAAGAACTAATGATGGCTTCGGCCACTCAATCCATAACGGGTTCGCCGGTCGGACAACAAGTGATGTGTTCTTAAGACTATAACGAAGACAGAGTTCGGTTCCCGTCTTGTGCTCCTCGAAGATGCGGACGTTTTGTGTCCGATTCGGTGNTTGGATCAGTGAGAGATTCAAAGATATATCGGACACAACTGCCGCGAAACGAGTGAGGATTAGGGCAAACGAGAGATCTGTTGGCCACCACTCGACACCCAAATACGGATCGCATTGTCACCCAATCCGGTACCGACTTCTTCTGGTGGGACACGGATTCTGTGAGTCATCAACGCGTTTGCCATTCACTGGTCGCCACCGTTGGCCGCGTGAAGACACACATCGGCACCGGAAATGTTAGTCACAGAACCGGTTCAAGTGAGTCACTCACCACTCGTTAAGATAATACGCAACTGATTGCACGGATCAGTTATAGCGATGCTATCCTCGCATTCATACCACGTGTTAACTGTCTGTGTGTTTGTCCACCGATTATAGGCCACCATATCCTTTGCGCTCAAACACTACGCCTACAGCGACGCCATCTTTTTGGCCGAAAGACTATACGCCGAGGGTATGAGCGGAGACACACTGTTACCACCGATGAGTGGTAGCTCTCAATGGATACTAACATGTCTTTTGCGTGCCATTAGTGTCCACCGATGACTCGCTCTATCTGTTGGCCACCTGTTACTACCGGTCGGGCAAAGCGAACGCCGCCTACTCTATACTGACGGGAAGGGACTGCCGGACGGCCGACTGTCAGCTCCTGTTAGCGCGTTGTTGTCTGGATCTCAAGAAGTACAACGAGGCCGAGGAGGCACTGGTAGGCGGCCTGCGGTCGGACAGGTGTGCGTCCACTACCTATTCGGTGGATGAGTTGCGCAAAGAGTTCGGCGAATCGGCCTCTTTTGCGGCCCAACTCTTGGCCCAAATTTCGGCCAAAATCGAGAGGCACTCGAATTCAATGCATTACTACAGAGAGAGCCTCAAAGCGAATCCATTCCTGTGGTCGTCGTACGAGAATCTGATCCAATTGGGGGTGAAGTGCGACCCCAAAGACGTGTTCAATATATCAAACGTGGAGTTCAGCCAATGCTTGGGATCCAATCCATTAGTGAATCTACTGAATGCCAACTCCAATACGAGTGTCATCTCGAATAGCATAGCGAATAATAACAACAACAACAATACCACCAATAATGCCATCAATCGGATCACGTCGGACACCAACTGCAACGCTAGTCATCAGCAGAACGTGACGACCGCGGCGTCGACGAGGTGTGAGATAACGTCGCCCTTCGCGGTGATCCGCTCGGCCAACGAGTTGGGAACCATTGACGTGATTACGCCCGAGAATAACCAGTGGGTGACCACGACATGTGTGGCGCCCCAGAAGCTCAACGCCCACAACAAAGCGACGCGAAAGTCGACGACGAACCTGAAGACCGAGAACAACGTGTTCACCAAAAATCTACTTAACTCGCAGACGACGCCCATTTCGCGCCACTGTTTCGGTGTATTCCCGTTGACGGACGTGTCCACTCTTGCCATTAAGTCGACGCCAGAGTCGGATAACAACCAGAAGATGATCACACATTCCGACGAAATGCAGGCCAAGAAACCGCATACGAGACGCAGTCAGCAGCAGATCCAGCAGATGACACAGCAGTCAGCGGTCATCGGCATCCAAAGCACCAGAAGTAACGCCTTTAAGTTACAGCTCTCTAACAATCAACAGTCGGCGCCCGACGTGAACACCGTTAGCTCCGTGTCGGGCAACCCTCTGTCCGGTTCGCCCATACAGTCGCAGTCGTTGCGTAGGAGTTCCCGTCTGTTTAGTTCGTCGCAGAGTTCGGTCAAAGAGAATACGGCCAACAAAGCGCCCGCTAAGCTCATCACTCGCCCCCGGACTCCCACCAAACGGACGAAACGGACGAACAGCTCGACAAACATCACGTCTTTGGTGACCAACAGTTCGTCTCAACAGCAAAAAGAGAGCGAATTAAACGAATTAAACAAATCGGAGCTCCAGAAGGGCCGGGAGTTGGTGTCCGGCTATGACTTGTTTCAGACGGGCATCAAAATGCAGAGGTATTCGGCGAAAGGACTCCTGGATCTGATGGTGCAGTTCGGCACAGCGTTGCAACATTTGGGACAATTCCGGTGCCGCGAGGCGATCGACGCGCTCGAGTGCCTGCCCGCCAACCACCTGAACACGGGTTGGGTGCTCACGGCCTTAGGCCGGGCCTACTTCGAGATGTCGCGCTACGAGGAGGCCGTCAAGTACTTCCTGGAGGCGCACCGCCGGGAGCCGCACCGCCTCCACGGCATGGAGTTCCTGAGCACCGCCTTATGGCACCTGCAGCGGGAGGTGGAGCTCTCGATACTGGCCCAGGAGTTGATTGAGTTCGACAAGGGGTCGGCACAGACGTGGTGTGTGGCCGGCAACTGCTTCTCCCTTCAGAAAGAACACGAGACGTCCATTAAGTTCCTGCAGCGCGCCATACAAGTGGAGCCGGAGTTCGCCTACGCCTACACACTGTTGGGCCACGAGTTGGCCGTCACGGATGAGATGGATCACGCCATGAGCTGCTTCCGCAACGCCACGCGTATTGATCCGCGACATTACAACGCCTGGTATGGCATTGGAATGATTTACTATAAACAGGAGAAGTTCTCGTTAGCGGAACTCCACTACAGGAAGGCGTTGGACATCTCGCCGTTCAGTCCGGTGCTTATGTGTCACATAGGGGTCGTACAGCACGCGCTCAAAAAGAGTGAACACGCGCTCCAGACGCTCGACAGGGCTATCGGTATGGACCCCAAGAACGCGTTGTGTAAGTTCCACAGGGCGTCCATTCTGTTCGCGTTGGACAGACATCCGCAAGCGCTCCGGGAGTTGGAAGACCTCAAACAGATTGTGCCAAAAGAGTCGTTAGTCTACTTCCTTATTGGAAAGGTATGTCTGCTTTTGGATTGTCTTTTTCCCGACTCTCCCTCTCCCCTCACAATTACTATCCTAATGTTATGAGTAGCCATTAACTAATGTGTGTTGTATTGCGCGGCACCTGTAGGTCCATAAGAAGATGGGTGACACCCACTTAGCGCTAATGAACTTCTCGTGGGCCATGGATTTGGACCCAAAGGGCGCCAACAATCAAATAAAAGAAGTAATCGACAAACAGTATGCAAACGACGACGAGGAGGTGGTCGTCCACTTGGACCCCACGGAAACGGGTCGCGCGAGCGTCGGTGGGGCCGGCAGTTCGCGGCACCGCTCCAACTCGGTCTCCATGGAGGCCGAGGAGTCATCTCTACTCAACGACGTCGAGGCTATGATAGACGATAGCACTTGAATTATAGGCCCTTTTATTATATATATATTATTGATATATAATTTCAAAACAAACAAATCGATTGCAAACTTATTGATATAATTATTTCAAATATTGAATAATATTTACAACAAATTTAATTGAAAAAACAAATTATAAGAAACTTATTTGAAATTAGTTTGAAGGCATGAAATACGGTATATACAGTACAGCGAAGTATAACAAAAGGTTTCGCGATAATGATGTGTACAGCGATTAATAAATTGGGTTTTAATTTATATGACAATTATTAGCAATACTTATAGAAATTAGATGTTTTATAATTATTTGGAATTTATTTAATTAATGAACTTTTGTTTGTATTTCTATTCAATTAATTTCTATTGAGGTTAGAAATCCGCGAAAATAAAACCTTAAACTCATCCCAAACACAGATCTATATTATTATATAATCTTTATATTGAAATATCGGAACCACTTTTAGTCCTCTTTTTTATTTAATATATATATTTTGTGCTCTCATTTCACAATCAAAACCCAAATTTATAAATAAAGATGTGATAAAAACAATTAAAACTATTGTTTTGTGCGTTATTTGAATATTTTGCTCAACAGCTCAAAGTCCACATCACTGTTAGTGGACTTGTTTTGGCGGATCAGCTCATCGGTGACCCTTTGCTTGTAATGGCGGCGATCGCGCGCAGAGGTCTCACCACTACCCTCATCGGCGGTCTTGTGTTTGGATTGATATTTGAATTTATGTGTCATTTGTTCGTAAAACGAGGTCTCCTTCTTCGCCCTCGAGATCTCAAACCTCAGCTTCTGTTGTGTCAACGCCTTCTCGTACGACAACTGTTCCGCCAAATGACTCCATTTGAACCTATCGATGGTAAACGAGATGATAATCAATACACCGCGGGATCAGTGTTGCCATTATTGGTGTCAATACTTATGCAAATATTTCAAACTCCAGATCTGATCGTAGAATTTGGTCCGCCGTTTGCCGCCAATCTGTTGGCCATTGAGGACACCGGCCGCCAGTTTGGCCACCGATTTCTTGCGGAACTCCACCCACCCCTCGACGTACCGACAGTTGTAGGACTTCTTGACCGACGCCCTCCTCTGCTTCTTCGCCGACTCGTTGGCGGACTTCTCCTTCTGGAGGAATATTCGGTTCACTTCTCCGTACTCTGCCATCAGTTGTCGCAATCGCGTGGCGTTCAGACCCATCGGTACGTAACTTAAGTAAACGATTCCTCTCTTATTCTTCGTGTTGTCACCGATTTTGACCACTTTTTTGCCAGATTTTCGTTTCTTAGAGCTGTTTGTCTCCTCTTCAGCGACCGATTGGTCGTCCCTCTGGTCGGCCGTCACCTCCCGTTCAGCGATTGGTTCGCCACACGAGTCGTTGGCGTTATTATCATCACTCATCTGATCCATGGTTGGACACGAAGACAATGAACACGTGTTTTGATTTAAATCACGTTATGTTTACGCATCGCATGTGTTATTGTGATGTCATTACAGGTATGGCATAAACCATTGAGTCATAGAGGGGTGGGAGGGATAGGGTTAGTGTGTGTTCACTGCACACCACCCCTTCATTTGGTGTGAACGATGCAGTCATAGCCATGGCTGACACATGTGTGCATTGAGCTATGGCTGTCAAAGACACTGAGCATTGAATTTGTAATGAAATCCTATGGAAAGATAGCGCTATTTCTCAGTGACTGAAACAGACCTTCAAATTCTAGCCATAAATTGAATGTCAAGTTTGAGGTAATTATTAAATACTTTATGAAATGTGTTTTGACACTAAAGTTAATTATAAAAGTTAACACAATTAACAGCATAAATGAGTTTAAATGCTTTATGACTTATTTCTCATAAAGTGATCATAATATGGCACTAATTATAAGTATAATTAAAAGTTATTAAAACTTTTTTGTTATGCAGTGTTGTATTGTATTTGAAGTATTTTTTGAGAGAAAAGATTCAGAGCTTATCATCGAAATGATACCAAAAACAACAAAACAAAAGTTTTTTATAAAAGTTTGTGAAAATCCTATTTAAAATTACTTTTTTAATGGTTTTTGTAGACTTTGACTTTTTATGTGGATTAATAATACTTTTAAAAACTAAACCAACACTTTGTAAAATATACCGATTATTATGACAGAGCCCAGAGAGCACTGCAAATACAATTACCTATATATCGCAGTTTTGAAGGTTTATTTCCCATGAGATTAGGAGTTTAATTGAATTTTTATTTATTATTTAATATTTTTATGCTTTTATTGCTCTCTCTCTCTCTCTCTCTCTCAGCGTTTGATAAATGAAATGATAAAACATATATCAAAAGTATACTCCGATTGTAACAAAAAACAAGAATATCTGGCGGAATCATATATATAGTTTAGAAAAATCTTATAAAACTTCTGTATAATCGACTCCTTTTTGACATTCAAAATGCAATTTATTTATAAAAGTTTTAATACTCTTTCGGATTCTTACAGTTCAGGTCATTTGGATGAAGGAATGGGAACATTAGATAAGGACTCTTATGGCGAGAGAGAGAGAGAGAGAGAGAGAGAGAGATCCCTATATTTATAAGGTATCAAAACTTATCAGAAATGATAATTTATTTGATTTCTGAGATTTTCTTTTCTTTCAAATCGCTTAATAATTATTGGCGTAAAAAATATATTGATATATGACTTGATAGCCTAACACTTCTAACCCAAACTTTGTTATTTGTTGCGACTTTGAATTTAGTTTAATAGTCGGCTAAGTATTAGGTATGCGCTGCACATGAATTCGTTATACATTTTTTGTTACATAATATTTAATAACTTGTAATAACATTAATATACCGATAATAAGGGGCAATACAATCGGCCAAACCTTTATACATAATATTCGCCATCATTTACGAGTTCAATATATTATAGATATTTATTATTAAACATAATATTATTTTTTTGTGATTATTATTAACTTTTGAATATTAGTTGGAAAGCGCTTTTGGGACTTTAGAAAATCTATTAAAATAATATAGTATTTCGTATTTCAATATTAAATTTTTTATTCGTATAATAATTATGAAATAATCAAATAATTGTATGCTTTGATAATCCAGAGTGCAATAGTAGGTAGTAATCAAAAATCATTACATAGTCGGGCTCATGGATGCGAGATTACATGCCGTGTCCGCTAGGATTACATAATATATATTTTGGCCCCAAAATTGCGCCCCTTTTGCAAAGGTTCAGACCATTAATATAATCAATAATTGAGAATTGCTTTGAAAATCTCTATATGAAATGAAATACATATCAATTATATGGTCGTGTAATAAGTCATTACGAGTGACATGACAATTACATTTGGTATTGAAAATTAGAAATTCATTATAACAGCGAAAGTCAGGTTAAAAGTGAATACAGAAATTAATTTAAGTTTTTATGAATAGAAAGTTAAATACAATTATTAATTAGAAATATTGTATTCATTGTGAAGTCATATGTTTTGTGTAAGACATTGACAAATCTATATCCTCTTAAAAGTTCACACAAAACGCCAATTAAAATCGTAAGTAAAAAGTAATCTTGAATAATTTTATAATTAGTATACGATGAGTACCTTAGTTTTGCACATCTATTCAAATTTTATGCAAATTAATTTTGTTTATATATTTAATAAGATATTTTTCTGTAATTTTTTATTCAAATTGCATCTAATCTTTTTAAATGTGTATATAATTTAGAGGTTTTTGATTTTCATTGCATTTAATGAGTGTTAAAGTCTGAGTGTTTAAGGATTTATAAAAAAAATTATTGTCAACTCCTGAACACCACATGATAGGCGAGAGAGCGAGAGAGAGAGAGAGAGAGAGAGAGTTAATTTTGGAAAATGTTTTAAATTTAAATTAACTCTAATGTACTCTTTTTAATGTAGTCTGACTTCCCATTAGAATATATTGTATTACATATTCGTCCCGTAGATTACGAACGAGTTTTGTTATGTAAAAAAGTTTTTAACTCTTGATTTTTGCTCACAATTTAATTATCGTTTATGAAGTTCTCCATCAGTTTGTGTTTTGCATTTGGAAACCTTTTCGAGACTCATTCGTGTTATGAAAAAATTTCATTTCCTCCTAAATATCAAACGAAAGTCTCTTTTAAGAGACAGTTTTGATGGCTAATGAAGAGTTTTGATAAACAAATAGCAAAACTTATCAAACTTTGTGTGCATAGTATAGTGTGTATTAAATTTAAAATAAAACCTCTTTTAGCGAAATATTTACGAAAAAAAGTATTTATTAAACATTTTTATTTTTCATTTTGACGTCTGTCTGTCAGTCTATTAACAAATGACACGGAAATCAGTGCACAATATATTTAAGTAGATTTAAAGTCATCTTTATTTATACGGAAGACTATACGCGTTGAGTATTACTGACGATACGATTGTCATAACAAACCTGAATCCCTTTCGTCGATAACGAGATGCCTTTTCCGTAAAAATTTTGTTTTTACTATTTTTTAGTTTTAATTTTTAAAGTCAGTGTTTAGGTAATGAAAGTTATGTTTTGGTTGGAGATTAAGTGATCAAATGATTGATATATTTTGCTATAAAGTTTAGTTAATTTCTTGAATTTCTTTATCAATTGGCTCTCTCTCTCTCTCTCTCTCTCTCTCTCTCTCTTGCAATCATAAGACTATTATTTAAACTAAACGTTAGATTACATCGAAATGAGAGATACAAACAGAGAAAGAGAGAAACATTTTTCATTTATAATAATAAGTCTCTTATGAAAAAATAAATTTCTCAAAAAAAGTTCAAAACAAACTATCATTTAATATACGTTTCGGTGCTTTAGTCTGCTTTTTGTTGTAATAATTAATTTATTATAAAGTTTTTCACTGGCAATGCAAAAAGTCTAGTTTTTTTGGAGAGAAATCCATTGAAGGGAAATAATTAATGAAGTTTTTAGACGAGGATTGGGTTGAGATTCAAAGTCATAATTAAGTACTAGTGGTGTGTCTATAGCAGTGTTGCCAATGCAGTGACTCTACTGTATAGTCTATAGACTTTATGCTAGATGTGATGCATAACATTTTCAATTTAAAACACTCTAACCATTAATAATTTGAATGACCGGTAATTTGAGTTTTACGCTCTCTCTCTCTCTCTCTCTCTCTCTCTCTCTCTCTCCGCACACTCTTTCATTCGCAACTAAAACAATGTTTAAATAATAGAGAAATGACTGGATTTATGAAAGACTCCTTCATAATAGAGTGAGAGTGTGGGGGACCACCAGTGGGGCTGTTATGTTGCCATAAGAATAAGATTGTGAAATATTATTCTCGATATAAAAGTATAACAATAACTTAATAGGAGGTTAAGAATAGACTTTTACTTTGTGTGTTGAAAGCGAAAAGTCTTATAAATCAATTTGAAGTGTATTTCTGGGCAAGTAAAACCATCAAGAGCATATTTATGGCTACACATTAATGTCTACTCGTTAAGTCGTTTGCCGAGACATTTCATTAGACTATTATTATATCTAGAGTTTCAAACACACAAAATGCTAATTAAATTCAAAACTGAACTCTAAAACTAAGAAAAAGTAATTATTAGTGACACTTAAACCTGTTTATAGAGTGCATAAGACATCCGCTTATCTGTATATTCTGTGTTCAAAAAAGTACACCAAAAACAACTAAATTAAAGTTTCACTCGTCTCACGATTTTCGATACAATATTCCGTTTATATCATTAGGTATTTATTTTATTTGTATTTTTGCATACATACTTTTTTGGATGCGAAACCGAGTATATTATTCTCACTTATCTCTGCATATGAATTACATTATGAAATGATTTTTATTATTATTTTTTAATATTTAGCTCACAATAAACAAAAGGGTAGAAAAGGTTGGAGAGATTTTGCTGTTTTACAAACGAATTCCCATTTATATTATAATATATTATACAATATTAAAGATCGTAATCGTGTCTCTAATCGCATATACTATGTATAAATGCTATGAATTTATATTTATAGACACTTTTCTGAATTTTGTTTAATAAAAGCAAACTTTTGCATCGAAAAAAAACCAGAAAAATGCTGTTTCGTTGCAATAGTTTAGTACTATTTATTATAAGCCTTTGTTTTCGGATTTTGGTTCCGAAACGAAATTAATTTTCTATATTATATAAAAGCATATAAAATGAACTTTTTTGTTGTTTTTCATTATATTTATTATACGAAGAGTTTATTGGCGTCCAAAACGCCGGCTCCAACCCAACGGAACGGACATATATTCACGACTTTATTCGGTTGTGATTTATATAAGTTTTATGAAAACCTTTTTTCCTTTCGCCGGAGATTTATGTGTAGTTTTTTCGTGGGATTCATAATGTCTCTGATGTTGTAATATATTTTTACTCCACTTTTTTCAAACTCACTGTTGAGAACATATTGTGAGACATCACTGATTGACTTGAGATGAGTGAGTGAG